TATCTATCTTAATCGATCACTGTGTCTAGAATGTCGCTGTGTGGACACCTACGTCACGGAGCAAAAATTACATGGGTGCCTTAAAAGTTCTCTTACGTTCTACTTGCTCGACGGCACACGTATATTATAGATATACAGCTGCATGTATACATATTATGTTATAATATGTATACGTATATTTACATCGCTTAATAATACATCTCTTAAGTTAGTATTCTGTTTTTTATTTCAATTTTTTTCAACGTGTTCACTAGATATTATTAATTCACGAGATGCCATTTTCTTTTTTTTTTCATATTTTCATATCTCTCTCTGTGTTTGTGTACGTGTGTGTGTGTGTGTGTGTATATATGTCTGTTTCTCTCTTTTTCACCGTCATATCTGGCAGCCGTGCGACGAAGCTGACAAATCGCTTTCTCCTTTTCCTTTTTTCCTTTGAATTCTTCTTCTCGCTCCCTCGTGCTTCAGGGGTGCGCCAACATGTTTCTGTTCCCCCTTCCTTTTTTCCTGCTATAAGTCCAACGAGGAAAATAGACGAAAAAAGGGTCGGGAAAACGAAACGAAATTATTTGTTCGTGTGCTCTCTCGTTTCAACTCGAGGGAGCTTCCTTTTTTTTTCTTTCCTTCCGATTGCACGTCTGAAGTGGCAGGGGGAGGTCGGTGGTGGTGGGGTCGATAAAAAGTCTGTTCGAAGGTGGAGAAGAGCGTACTAGTTGAGAATTGACTCGAATAAAGAAGCTTCGTTTCTGTTTCTTTTACCATTATTATTTTAATTTCTTTCCTTTTTTTTTTCCTTCTTTCAGTGAATGCTGCCTTTCAACATTCGCTGCGGCGCTCGTGGATTGCTGGAGTTTGACCTGGACTCCTCTTTCCCAATGGACTCGAAGATCTCTCGTTCTCTAACTCACTCCGTTTACTTACAAAGATTATCCTCCGAATAGTAATACTCGTGTGACATTATTTAGTAACTTTTTTTTTTGTTCTTTTGAATATTTTCTAGCAATTTTATTTATCTACGGTTTTTATTTCACTGACTGGTATTGTCATGTTAGCTGTGCCCATCTTGATAGTCCAGATCAAAAGTGTATTTTTTTTTCCTTTTTCCTTTTTTCTTTTTTCATTGTCCGTGGTCGTTGCCATCAAAATTCTACTCTGTTCATGGATCCTGTTGCAAATCAGTCCGTAAAATGGCCATTATTCTCGTCGAATACCGCCCCTTTGAACGGCGTTGGGAAAGATATTCGAGAGGGTGTAGAATGGTCGAGGTATTCCAAGCACCGAATTTCACGCAGAGATTTCATCTCCCTTCGAAAGAGAACAATTTTTCTACGATTTGAAAAGGATCGATCACAATGGAAAAAGTGTAAAAGACTCTCCGTTAGGCCGTGGCGTTGCTCTTTCTTGTTCAGCGAAGAAGTTTATTGTCGATCGAAAGACGCGCGTCGTTGGAATCGTTCACTTTTCCGTTTTCAGAAATGTCCTGGCGATTTTTTCTACGTTCTCAGGGCTCTTACAGAGTTCCCGTTCAACTTCTTAGGTGATTGGATATATCCGTCGTGAACGCCATGTTGTTCACGCTTCTGAGCGACATGTGGCGCCATCTAGGAATATATGTGATTAATTTTTCTTAACGTTACACCGTCCGAATCGATTAGTTTACAACTTTCTATCTCTCCAGAATAAATCGTACTGTTGAATAAACAGTTGTACTTGAGCGAAAATTCGTAGGTATCAATTTTGTGTCGAATTTTTATGAACGATCGAAGTAACAAAATCGCGACTCGTTCCGGGTCAACGGGTTCCAGGATCGCCTCGAGGCGAAGTTCCTCGACAGAGAGGCGACTTCCGGCGAGACAGGGAATTTATTTATAACGATCCCGAGGCTCGAAAAGCTGGCAGAGAGAGGCAAGTTTGTCCTATTCCGCGGAGCTGGCTAGCGGAGCGTGAATTCCTCGGGAAACTGACACGATCCTGTTTCTCCTCCCCACAATCCCTCCTCCTCCTCCTCCTCTGACCCCACTCCCCTTTCTCTCCTTGCGACTTGGTTGTTTTTCGTTTCGACGAGCAAGTGGCACTCTCACGGGTTCGAAGGTGTTCTCGAGCCGCCACGAGGACACCAGTCTCCACTTAACCCGTCGAATTTTCGAGAATCCTTAAGCCGGTTTCCAACGGTCGACCGATTTGGTAGATCGCGATTCAGAGAACCTCCTTACGCGTTCTGTTTGATCGTTCAGTTGGATCGAGTGTCTCCTCGAGGATATTTCAGCCCTCTGGCCTGAGCAGATTTCTACAGGTTAGTTTCACGAGAGTTCGTCATCTTGGATTTCATAGGATGTCACAGAAAGGCCTCCTTCTCTTTTTTTCCTTCTTCAAATTTACTCGCGTGGATTTGCCTTTTTATGGTGAAGAAAATTTCACGAATTGGTTATCTCTGATTGATACGCGAAATCTTCTTGCTTCTTCTAACTTCTCGAGGGTGTCTCTCGAAGATTCTGTGAAGAGAAGTGTGTGCTTTTGGGCAGAATATTTCTTCTCGTGCATTCCGAGCCTTGCTAAATCCATTTTTCGCGAAATGTCTCACTTCTATCGCCCACCTGGAACACATACGGCGAATAGATTCGAGACACCTTGAAACTTTTCACCCGGCGGTACGATCACGATCCAAGTTGACTCTGCGAAGGCCGGAATCCAGGATGGCAGGGCTTCTGGACACGATCCAAAGAGATTCTTATGCAAAACCGTGGAGCACTTGTTGCGTTTTACTAATGAAACTTTTACGTCACGAGCCATCGATTGCACGAACAGGTGGTTAATAGCCCCGACTGTTTACGCCGCCCCTGGAACGCGTTTTTCCTCTGTCACGGTATCGATCCGCCTGTCCCCCCTAGTATTATTTATGTAAATTGCCTGTCCGTGCATTATCAGTCGATTCAGACCCGGCCATTTTTATTCAAATCTCGCGGCCACCTGTATGTTCCGCTCAATTCACTCGTCCAACGTTCGTACAGTTCTCGAACCTGTTCCATCGATATTTCTCCCCTTTTCCGATATCTTTTCAATCTCTGTGCACGAATTTTTCGGGAGGAATTTTCGCGTTCTACTCGAGGAAATCGATAATCCGAGCCTTCTACAGAGGGATGCAATCCCCTCTGAGACACTCTTGTGACCTGACACTTATCGGCGTGTCCCCATTTTCTCAGTGACGTCCATCAATCTTTCATGCCTGGCCATTAAATCGCCAGGATGGAGGCTTTTCTTGGCCCTGGTGAGCCCATTTCATGAACAGATGTATTTAGGTCAGCTTCCACGTTCTTTTTTTCTTCCTCCATCGATCTCGCAGGCGTTGGTCATTAGATGATCAAGCTGGAGGCTTTCGCGTGGCCCTGAAGAGTCCATTTTATGGACTTGCTGTATTGTACCGTATTGGAAAGAGTTATTTCAGATAGTAGAAATTCCGTTTTGAACATCTGGCGATTGGAACCCCGTTCTTTCTCCTCTTCTTCTGTGCCCGGTTGAGGGGGGAAAGGCGGTCTCTCGACGGCGATGAGCGGCCGGGATCCATCGATCAGCCCGGACGATTAACAGGGTGTTAACGAGATCCTGGAGCGAAGACCTAATACTCGTGCAACTGTTTGAACCTCGGATACCTGGCACTCAAAAGGCTCTCGATCGATAAAGGGTCCCTCTTACTTGGCCTTTAAATGACTCTGGATAAAACCAGGATCGACGACAACACCGTGATCACGATGGAGTTGGCTAGATCCTCGGCGCCTGCTGACACGCTCGAAGTTATCGCATTGTTGCAAGCCTCTGGTGCTGGATCTGGAACACACGGTGCAGCATAATTGTTACAATATTCTCAGGTATTAGCGACAGGTGTTCAATCAATTTTTAATAATAACGAATATATATTTAGGACTGAAAATTCAATAACAATAATTACAGTGTGTAATTGTTCTATCTCTATTACGCTAACACTTTAACTCTTAACACTAGAACTACCAAACGGGTGAAAACGACCCATTCGAGACTTTCCAAATGTGAATTTTTCTGTAACTATAACGTGATTGAAAAGTTAGATTAGATCGGCATAAATATAAGCCTAGATGTAGAAAACGATGTCGAAAAGTTACATATGATAATACTTGCTTTTCTAGCGTTAATAATCAATTTCTATAACTCTCGCTCTGTGACTCCTCCCTCTCATTCACCCTGTTTCATTCTTTTACCCGCACGTTCTCTCTTCTCCCACTTTTCACGCACTCTTTGTTCATTCGATACTCCCGTTGTCCGACAGACGAGAGCAACATTAGCAACAGGAAGCAAGAAAATGACACAGGGAAACGCAAATCTGTGCGCAGGAAGGGAGGGAATAGCGTCAAACAAAGGAGTATGTTTGATTCAAGTAGAAGGAAAATGATTAACGTCGGAACACACGAGAAGTGTTCTCGACGACTTCTTTAAACGAAAGCATCAACTAAGGAAATTTCTGTAAAACAAGCGTCGAGAAAATTAGCAGGGACACGATAAAATATAGAAAATCAGAAAAAGTACATACAAGATCAATATTTTCGATTACGTTCTTCTACTTCGTCTTTTACAAAAATTTCAGAAAATTCGCATTAGTTACGCGATCATCTGATACAAGAAGATGAAGTGCCAGCAGGATCTTAACAACTTTTACTATCAAAACAATTCACTCAGCGATAATAACAATTTCTCGCGAAAACTATGAAAAATTCCGCACAATCCTGTTGTTAAAGCAAAAATGTTCCATTCCCGACTCGCCTCATGAACAATTTCAACGCATGCCCGATAACAGAAGGAATACGTTTCGCGTTCATTTGACGGCTGATAAATATTCGACAACCTTAAATCATCCATCGTTCCCGATCGAAACTCCGATTTGGCATTCCGTTTGACGTTTCGCTAACGACCGGTCCCGTGCCGCTGGAATCGTGCGAGGCTCGCGAAGGGGTGGGAACTTTTCAAGGGAGCTTCTTTTGTAATCTCTGCCTTCGACGCGACGAGAATCGCGCGAAGCAAGTGGCGAAAAAGGACGGGAGAGGGTGAGAAACGGCCTCGAACCACGACGGGATAACGAGTTTCCGGTTTTCCGTAATTTCCATCGGCGGAATCGTACTGGCTGGTTGTTTTTCAAACTGCACGAGCAAATATTTGCCTGCGAACGGGCGGATATGATCCAGGGGAGCGGCGAGTGTCGCCTGGATCCCCGGGGAATCACGATTGAAGCGTGGAAAGTATTGTCGAGGCGATGCGAGGATAAAAACCGAGGTTGAGACACCTGGTGAATTAACGGACTTCGATTGTAACGGGGTTACGAAATTAGGAAAAATGCTCGGATCCGTTGGTTCCGGCTGGCACGTGATCCTGGAGGTCGCCATTTAACTTGGAAATCGATCAGCGTCGACTCACGCGATACTGCCTCACCTCGAATCCATTTTAAATACAGAGCGGTCCCGATCTATGAAAGTGTGTGCACAGTTTATTACCGTGCACACCGCGCGAGTGACGGCACACTTCGATCGAGCGTCTAGACCGGCGATTTTTAATCTTTTTCTCTTTTTTTTTTTTTGTGTCACAGTACGGATAAACTAATTAGGAGAGAGCCGTGCAGTACCGGCCAAAGCTAGATCTCGCTTATACTGTAAGTTAACTGCACTATTGATGGAAAAAGAAATGAATACTATAGCCCTGAGCAACGTATTCCGGCGACGTTCTTTTTTCTTCGGTATTACCAGAGTTCTAAGACGTTTAACGTTTACGCTGGTGTTCCGTACGACAAAAGCTATTTTTCATAGCTGTGATGGTTGGGCTCACGTGGAGTGTACGGATCAAGAAAATATCGATCACTTTACCTGTGATACTTGTAGACGTGCCTAAATCAAAGTTCTATTCTATTTTTAAATGATTTTTACTAACTTTATTTATTACTTAGACCTTCAAATCTACCAACTAAGTAGCTGGCCGGTACTGCACGACAATTTTTCGTTCGCTGCAAATTACAACTTTTTTATTTCTACCAATTATTTATCTTTATGAGAAAATTTAAGAAAAACCATTTGTCCCGTTTTATTAAGCACACTTTGTACTACAAATGACTTATTTCAAATTTCATTTTTACCAACATCAGCCCAAGTTATAGTACAAGAATTTAGAGTAGCCGGTACTGCACGACTCTCCCCTACTACAATTCTGCGGTGCGCAGACAAATGTTCTATATTCTTTCGCCGATCTGATAGGAAAGTATACGTTTTTCACCGATATACAAAGAAAATAATATTCTTTCAAGTTACTTTTTTTTAAACATTTTTAACTCGTATTAAAAAATATTGGACACACCTCTGGACCTCTAAATCAACGGCCTAAATCATAGCCATTGATATTGCGAACAAAGAGCACTTGGTTATAAGTAGACTGCGGATTTTTATGCAAATTTATACTTTTGAGAATATAGTAAAAAATGTAGAACTTTGGCGGAAAATTATTTCATTTACAAGATATTATAAAAAACACTATAATTTTGTGTCTTTAAATTTTCTATAAATGCAGAAAATTCTCTGTTAGAGTAGTACTTGGTTATAAGTAGCCGCCGGATTTTTATGCAAATTTATATCTTTGAGGATATAGTAAAAAATGTAGAACTTTGGCGGAAAATTATTTCACCTGTCAGATATTACAAAGAAAACACTATAATTTCGATATTTTTTACGTTTTTTCATATTACTCGCATTCTGTGCAATTTTGTACCTTTAAATTTCCCATAAATGCGGACAAATCCGCGAGTCTAGTTGCAAGAGTACTTATCTACACCCTTCAAAGATATTTGGTCACGTTCGTCCAAAACCCTGCAGTGTACTTTACAATACCTCACAGGTAAATGGTCATTGGTGTTAAGCGAGGAGATCCAGGTGGATCCTCCGCGCCTCCTCTTCGTTCTATCCATCGCTCCGGTGAAGTGTTTAATCGTTCACATTGTCACAGTGCCGCAGTGCAACTGTTACTAAACAAACGAACGCACAGGTACCACTCTCACATTCCCGCTATTACCGTCTCACCATTTCTACTCGCGATATTAACGTTCAGAGTGTGTATACATTTTAACGGGACACTATGTGCATCGGATTCTCCGATTTATACGGTCTTCCACGTTTCAGGGCAATTGTTAGCGAAAGAAACGACCTGCAGAACAATTTATACCACGTTACTGGCACCGGCCAGGATAAGTATACCATTAATTAAGGCATTGGCTAGATTGGTGAGGTTATTTTGAAGTTTAACGACGGAAGTTAAATGGCTGTTAAGGTTGGCTGGGATTCCCCGAATCGTTCTCGAGTTTCGTGCAGGAGAGGAAGGTGGAAAGGGGGGACTCTGATATGTTAGATTCGGCGCTGATCGATGGAGGGTTCGTTGTTTTGTGGTTAGGCGATTCTCCAAGAAGAAAGGTGCATTCGGTTTTCCGATATTAATCTGGGAATTGCCCAGTGGAGACTGGTTCTCTGCGGTTGAGCCAATTCTCGTGGACCTCGCGATTGATCACTTTCCAAAAAGATCTGGTTTGAATAAACTGACTCTGTATGATGGTTAAAAAAAACATTTCTTTTTTTCTCTTTTCCGGGGTGTCTGGGAGTTTGAACGTTCGATCGATCATTTTCCCAGAAGATCTGACTCAAGGAAATTCGTTCAGTTTCTTTGGAAAATAGTGCCTGTCGAGAATTACAGAAGTGCTCAGCGGCAAGCACAAGTGTTTGAGAATTTGGATTTTAGAGTGGATGAAGTGGTTGTGGGTGCAGTTCCAGAGGTTAGGCAACACCGAATTCGATCCGGCCAAATACCAGCTTTAATCCAGAACAATCTCGAGCAAACAAACGCCTGGAATTATGCGGGGGAATGCGAAACGAGAGCACGCATGGCTGGAGCGCCACGCAACGACAACAGCCCACCGGATAATGAAACATGAAAACATGGAAAATCTCGCGAACATTGATCCAACGTGGAATTTGAATTATTTATAGCTTTTAAGCCAGGTCGATGTTACTTTGATAGTTGTTGGGCGGAAAAAATTTCGTTTGAAATAGAAATAGAAATTGACATGTCTGATTTCAGAACATGGACAAACAGGACAAGAATAGCACTTTTCATGGAAAGTAGGGTATACGTGAAAGAGAAAAAGGGTGTAGTAGCTCATACGTGTACGAAAGTGCCAGTGGCTCAGTGGTAGCGACACTGCTTTTTCAAGCCTGAGGTCGTGAGTTCGATTCTTGGTCGAGCTTTTTTAAGATAGTTATTTTTCCTATGATTTTTCTTCGATTGCTTTTCATACTTCGATAGTCCGGCGGGTTAGAACAGCAATTCTGAGCCGGAAACAAAATTATCGAAAAATAACACGGCGTTTTAGAATTCAAAATCTGTCGTTCACAGGTTTCAGGGAGGGTAAAGATCATCAGGGGAGGAAAACGTGTGTTATACAGGATGGATGCTCGGTCGAGTGGAAAATCCGGATTTACAAGGTGGCTCAAAGGAGGGGGAGAGAAAAGTGACCGGGAACGTGGAAAAAAGGAAAAAGAGAGGCTCTTAGAAAAAAGCAACGAAAGACGGTAGAAGGCTTCGAGAAGGTAGGAAGAGAGTGAGTTATAAACTTGTTCTTGGGAAGCAGAAAAAAATCTATAAATTAGACTAGACAGAAAACTAAAGATATCGGTAATTTTCTCATGAAAAGAACGATTCCGGAAGAAGGGTTCGTTGCCACGGTGAAAATTAGATAATAAGGGTAGATACGAGCCTGGTACCCCCTTCAGCCTGGGCAGGAAGTCGTTCCAAAAGGCGCAGGCCGTGGTTCGTAGCCCTTTCCCCCCAAGGCCAGTTGTCTCAGCGTTGAAGATATAGTACTGCGGCTGGTCCCTCGAGTACGGTGGCCACTCATTCTCGTTCGTCGGCTGCCTGGAAAATAATCGAACACGAGGGTAACAGGAAACGTCGCTCACCCATCGAGTAGAGCATTCAGCGTGTTATTTTAGTCGAAATCGATGATGCAAAAACGTCAGCTTTCGATATTCCACTTGCTATTTTATGGTCTTGGCTTAAAACAGTCTCGAGTACGTAACTTGGGGAACACGAGTTCCTCCAATTTCGAAGAAATTTCGTTGAACGTTTCAAGGGATCAGAGTTTCTCCGTAGATGGTTTAATGACGATTTAGTTTAAAATTCCGTCTGATCTCGGAGTTCCGTAGCTCCTCTAAAATCCCCAGGAAGCTATAGGCGGGAGGACACGAGACGAAGAAACGATCCCGCCAGTTGTTTGTATATTGTATCGCTGTTTCGTCGAATATCAACCGTATCTCAGCGAAAATACATGGAACCTGTTTTTTACAACATCTCCGCTGGATTAATTAACTCTGTAACGTAATTAATCGAAGTCCCACGTTGTGGTATAGTTAACTATCCTCGTTTGAAATTAATAACGAGCCACGCAAGCTGTTAAATTGACCGAGCCACCTTTATTAATCATCGAAAGTACATGTCTTTCGGCGCCAGTACAAATATTTACCAGGCTGTTTTCTAATAATTAATTATCCATGGCCCGGCTAATCGATCCGTCGTTTTTTCCGTCGATTCCGCCTGTTCTCGAATTTCACCGCGGGCAGATTAATTTCGAACGAAGAAGAAAAACGAAACAAAAAAACCAATCAACGCGTCACTGCTAAAAGGACAAAAGCCTCGCGATTCGATAAGCTGATAATCGTCGATTTGGGAGGTGGAGAGAAAAAAAGGAACGAACGCAGGGTTGGGGTTTTGATGGATGATGCCTGCTCGACGTGTGACATATCGGCCTCTTTGTTGCCCGGCGTCAATAAATAATTCTTCGGTTTCCGTTAACCCAGATTGAAAAGCCGCGGAACGCATCGCGATCGTTAATGTTTAATCGCTGTCGTCAAACAGCAACGACACCCCCTGGCCGGAATTAATTCGTTGCTCGACTTTCCGTTCGGCCGGCTACGTCACCACCGAGCTGGCATAATAACCTTCTGGAATTATTAATCGGCCAACCAGATATAGAACCGGGCTTCTATTCTCGCGTAAAAGGTCGTCGTAACCAGGATCTTCTCTCGTGTCTTTATGAAACGAGCGGATTTCGGTCTCTTTACGTAAGAAGAAATTGGGTCTAGTGATTTTTCAACGGAGTTCTCCCGACGAAAGTGCTCTCGCTGTATCGTATTATACAAATATCACGAGACATTTGGAATTACGTTGGGAAATTTTTGAGGAGGAGAGCGAAACGTGTGGAATCTTCACAAAGCTAGAACAGGGAAATAAAGTTAGAGAGAGAGAAAAACAAATAATCACTGCTCGACATTCCTTTTTCCCCCATTTGGAAAACAAACAGTTTTCGCGAGGAGTGAAAAAAATCACTCTTCAGGTTTTCTTCCTCGGTGTTCACTGTGTAAAGATAATTTTTTCGAGAGCATTGTACTCGAGAGGATCCGCTTCTCTTCCTTTTACCACCTTGAAAGTGACCAATGGAAACAGGGAACACAGCCTGTCGTGTAACGAGCTTCGAAATTTCGCGAGGGAAAAGTTTCGAACACTTTTGGGCGTGTTTCCATGAAAGTCAAATTTGTTGCTAGGAAATCCTCCCCTAAATTCTACCTTCAGCAGCTCCCCTGGCGGTTCCACGGTCCAGCGAAATTCTTCAGCTCCTTATTCAGCCGGTTATATTTCAAACGAGGCCAGACGTGAATACGAAATGCAATTTTAAGCAACCGCGACTGGGACGTGGTTTTAAATAACCACAGGGAGGATCGACGGCTGCCAGACAGCCGAGTGAACTTTCAGAAAAATGTCGGGACAAATGAATATACGCCTCCCTTTCCTCTGGGATGAAATATCAAAGTGTGTGCGTGTGTGTGTGTGTTGGCGGTGAAGAGTCGAGTGCTATCGAATAAATAAACAAACGGGGCGGGGTATAAAAGGAAAATTTTCTGCTGGGTATTCCACTCGCGTGGACATACGTCATGATAAACCTGAATCTCGATAAATTTGTCTTGCCACGCCTCTCTCCCTCTGTTCAAACAGACATGATTTACGAGCGGCTAATCTATGCAGAATGAAATATCGTTCGATTCTTATCCCATTAAGTGAGCCATCTTCGTGGAACCACGATGTTAATTCATTTCATAGCAAAGAAACATCATCCCTGTTCAATGGAAATTCAACATTTAGCTATACCAAGTGCACCAAAGGATTCTGCACGACCTGGACGATAATGGAGGTTCGTAAAATCGCGCGACGGGTCAACGGGGAACATGTACAGAGCAAACAAGATGGCGATCAATAATTTCATTTCGTTAAGAGCAGAATCGACTACGGCGAATAGAGAGTACGGCTCGATAATATTTCGAAGCTTATTCCTCGGCCTTTTCCTGGGGTAGAAGGTTCTACGTATTTTGGGGGAGGGAGAATTTTCGGGGAGCCTTGGAAGTGGAATTCCCCTAGAAGTAGGTCAGCCATAGTAGCCCACTAAATTTTCATGAATATTTTACCGTCCATTCGAAGAGGCGGTGTTTTGGAACTTTCCAAAATTGGAACTTCCAGCCGATGTGTTCTCCGGACAGTTCTTTCATCAAGCTAGCCTAAGAACACACTTGCAGATCATCGTCGAAAGTTGTAATCGTAAGTTACACGATTAAAATTGTCGAGTGTTAATGGTGTTTCCAATGGTAACTTACCCCGTATAGGCGAACTTGGAGAAGTATCGTATCATCATGATGGACAGATCTCGTTCCTCTTTGCTATACTTCAAGGACATGTTCATCGGATGCCCGAACACGTACTCCACTTCGTCACCGTGCAACACTCCCATCCACTCGCCCCATAGATTGCTGCTCGTCCTCTGCAACACATAGGGAGGCTCGGTTATGGTCGCGTTAAACGTTCGTTCAAATACGTTTCCAGGTTGTCGCCATGTATCAGCCCGGCGTTCCACCACCACATAGATCGACTATCGTCCCCGCTGACACGGTATCGCGTTGCTATTAACCGCCAGCCACCCCGTAGTTTGTCAGTTTTCATTTTAGCCCGCGCCGCCACTCGCCGGGAAATTGATTTTTACTCACCGTTTCGAAAACATCGTACCAGCGAATGGAAAAACAATTTTTGGCTCGCGACAGGATTACCGTGAGCGGTAAAATGGGTCAACGATTTTTTTTTCTCTCTTCGTGGTAGATTGGGTCAGATATAGACGTAATCTGGACCTAACGGAGGTTTCGCCATGTTTCTGTGTTAAATTTCAGGGACTTGAAATTTTTGGTCCCAGTTCAAATTTAACTTACAGGGAAATATGTATACCGAAGTGATAGCGATCGATGTCGATGAAACTTTTGTGAGAAAATCCGTCCCGAAGACGGTGAAGCCAGGCCCAGCGCGCTCGGTGGGTCTGTTCGCGTAGGGGTGGACAGAGATCGGTAGGACGACGCGTCCTCACTCTTCGCGAGACCCCCGAAGTACACTTTTTGCGAACGACGCTCAGATAGCGCGGTCCTATGTGAAAACGTAGACACGTTCAATTCATTTCTTCTTCTACTTTCTGACACTTTGTCAGACACGTATTTTCGTACTTGACACGTATTTTCTTTTATCGGCAATAGTCTGCGTTGATGGGGTGAGAATCGCCTTCAAAGATGAGGGTGATAAACATATTTGCTGAAAATTTTTCGTTATTTTTTATTTTTCAAATTTGTTGCCGGAAAATACGAAATTCGTCAATCTACAGTATTTCTCTATCTCTTATAGTTTTCGAGATATTGGACTAGATATATTTAGGGGAGAGTAGGGGAAACACGAACGTGGGGTAATGGCGAATTCGCATTGTATATGGTGTTAGAAAAGTATGAACAATTCCTCCTTTTGCCGCATGATCGCTCGTACCGATTGCAATGCTAGGTCACCAATGTAAAACAGTTGACGCTAATCGAAGTAAAAATTATCGAAGATTTTTGCTCGTCTTTGTCTAGTTTTTTGAAGAAAGTAAAGTAAGTATAGCTTTTGCATGTATAATTATCTTAATACTAATGTTCAATGCTAATGGACTATGCGTTACGATTGCTGCGAATGGGCACACGAAAAGTGCAGTAATGGAGAAAGCACATCTAGAGACTAGCGACAGTTATGGAATCACGAACAGCAACGGTTTGGTTTTCCTATTGAAAATTGGGTTTATTTTAAAATTTTGTTCAAGTTGATTATAAAAGTATATAAACAGATAATACGTGTTTGTATATAAACGATGAAAAAGTTATTACCTTTGCAATATTCTGTTTTATTCAATTTTTTCCTCAGGCGTTCGTAATTCCCCCACTCTCCCCTGCTACCTTCAGATTTGAGGGCGATTTTCACCCATTCACCGTGGACGATTGCCCATATAAAAAAATACGTGTCGAGTATTCGGTGATTATCACTTCGAGATTTTGAGTTAGAATTTTTTTATATTAAATTTGAGGGACTTGGAGCATCGATCCAAGCTCAGACCTAGTCCTAACCTAAATAACTTATTTCCGTGCCTTCGGAAATCCATTAAACATGCATCTACATATCATTCGACCCACTAACTAACTACCACACGAATTACACAAACGAAGAATAAACGTAGCGATGGAAGTAGTCCGGCATAGATACTCAGAAAAGGGTGTAGAATATTACAAGGACTGGAAACGCGGCGATACTGTACCCAGGTGTCTAATAGAGGCTGAAATTATTTTAATATACTGGCTGCAGTGAGATACAGAGTCTACAGAGGATCAACGAAGCGTCAGTGGCCCGTAGGAAAGCGGCGAGGTTCCTTGCCCCAGGACACATCCACAGTTATGGTTATCGTCTCGATCCTATTTCAGTCTCTGGCCTAGGAAAATTGCGACTCGACCTGGAATCGTTGGAAATTGAACGTTTGTCCTGGTGAATACCGTCGTTCGTCGACGTACAATGCTGGCTCGTTGCTAACTTTAGCCCCTTTTGACGAGCAACCAGGAACCTTCACTTGGAAATTCACTTTCCCGAAGAAATCTCCCTATTCTTCAATTTTGCCCCGGGAAAAGGGGGGGGGGGAAATTAGTTTTCGATTTTAACACGGGGGAGGGGAACTCAGATTCGAGAATTTTTACGAGAAAGTTTGATAGGTCGACTTTAGCTACGGCTCTGCGCGGGAACAGATGTTTCAAGCGTGGAATTAATTAAGGCGCCGGTTAATCCTGCTAGATCGACTCTTGGAAACTGGCGAAATCACGGAGAACTTGGATTCGACGAGAGAAACTCTCTCGGAATGTTTCCAGAAATTATCTCAACTATCGACGAAATTTTCTTCACGGCGAAAAAAATTCGCGTGCCTCTTCAAGAAGACACACCGAACTGTCTGTTAATTGTCGATAAGGGAGGGCAAACACGTTGGCGGAAAAATAGGGCGTCATTTGAACTGCTGTATTTACCAGAGGAGAGCAAATTTGCCCTATTTACGAGCATTCTGGAATGACGTGCGGCCACTGCATCGATTTTTCTAGCCGTTGACCAACTACCCAAGTTCCAAATTATCCGGAAGCAAAAGATTGTCGCTTTACTTCCTTCAGAGAAATAATTCTCAACTCGCTTTTCAAGGCACCAGGTATGTATATAGTAGAAGAAAGTCAAACAACGCCTGGACTATGTGTAAAATTAATCCATCTCGGTGAATCGCGAGCAACTTGTACGAAAGTTCCCCTAGATTCCAGTCCGTTCTTAATTCGAGCTGAATGATTCAATAGTGACGCGCACGGACGAGGTTCCGCGAGCAAACAAAGCGCCGCTGGTGAGCTGGCAATCTTGAGAAGCGGATTTATCGTTGCCTCATAGTCGTCGCCGCGAGTAATTTCGATTACGCGCCCTCCAGCTTGACAAAGAGTCCTCTCAGCGACAGGATAGCGCCATAGTTCTTCGCGACTTCCTCCCTTTGTGCGACACAACCGCCGCTATCTTTCACTCTGGCTTCTTCACCGAGTATTAAAAACTCGTACTCGCCTGTTCGGATACTGGTTTAATACTGCGAAATATCTCCAGGCTGTTAGAACGTGTCTACTTAGTTTACAGTAGGGTGAAATTAGGTCAGCCTGAAAAAATTTTTTCTCTTTTACACGAGGACTATTGAATAGAGGAATTTTTGTCACGGGTTTAGGCAGGCACGTATTGTTCGTTTTTGTTTAATTTATCCGCAGTTTTCGCTTTTGCATGCAAATGTACACAGTGGCGGAGATACATTTCTATTTTTTACAAAAGTATACAAAAGGTTGTATGTTTTGACTATATTATTTGAACAAGTAGATTTTTCTGAAAAACTCCTCGTTTCGAAACGTACAATTGTCCTTGAAAAAATTCTAAAAATATCAGTACTAAATCCCCAACTAGAATTTCAGTTAGGCATGCCTAAAGACGAATGTGGTCCTAATGCGGAAACGATTAGGCATGCCTAAATGCTGCAAGCCTAATCGTTACCGTATTAGGTCCTGATTTGGAAGGAATAAAGCATGCCTAAGTTAGGTATTTCTAACAGTTGCCCTGCGTGGCCCAAGTGGGGGTGGCCGAGCGCACGCTTAGGTTGGGCATTCCTAACAGTTGCCATACGTGGCCCAAATGGGGGTGGCCGAGCGCACGCCTAAGTTAGGCATTCCCAAAAGTTGCCCTGCGTGGCCCAAGTGGGGGTGGCCGAGCGCACGCCTAAGTTGGGCATTCCTAACAGTTGTCCTGCGTGGCCCAAATGGGGATGGCCGAGCGCACGCTTAGGTTGGGCATTCCTAACAGTTGCCATACGTGACCCAAATGGAGGTGGCCGAGCGCACGCCTAAGTTAGGCATTCCTAACAGTTGCCATACGTGGCGCAAATGAGGGTGGCCGAGCGCACGCTTAGACTAGGCATTCCTAATAGTTTCCCTGCGTGGCCCAAATGGGGGTGGCCGAGCGCACACCTACATTAGGTGGAGTGGGGCTCTGAAACTTATATGTAGGAATATTTACAGACATCTCAGTGTCGGACGTACGCTTGCGTGAGAGCTTTCAACAAGATAAAAATTTTTACAATTTAATCCATACAGTGCCTTGATGAAGTATTCCTCGTGAGATTTCATTAATGTCTCTTAATGACAGCCTAATAAAGCTATTCTAATATGGGCCTAATACGATTGGCCTCGTTGGATAGTCATTGAGAAAGCCTAATGCGACCCTAACGCGGCTTTCCCAGTTAGGCGGTCGTGAATATTCCGCGTTACATACCGCATGCGGGCCTGATGGGGCTGCCCCATTGGGGCCTAACAGGCAAATTAGGCTAGCCTAATGCGGACCTACTGTCTGCCGAACTGAAATTTCTAGTCGGGTAATTACGAATTAGAGTGAATAAAATTCATATTTTACAGGTATCTTTTTAACAGTTACGTCGTATGTGATTATTTTTGAAGCAGAGTGTATATAACCTTATGTCACAGTTCTGATAATAATATCTCGTCCTTTTTTAACATTCTTCCTGAAAGTCTCTCACGAGTAAAGCTGTTCGTTATTTAAATTCCACTCGGGATAAACTGCGAAAGGGTTAAGGGGGAATTCCCCTGTAACAACAGTAAAATCGAACGATTCCTCTATATTTTTTTTTTTTTTGAGAAAACTATTAACGATGCAAGATTATTATTTTACGGGTGCATAAATATATTCATAAACTACACAAACAATTTTTTTTGTTTACTCTTTTTCATTATTATATCGAATAGAGTATGCAATTGTTTTTATCTACTTGGTCGATGAAACCATTGTTGTTACAATCATCAGAATTTAAAAATTAGAAAAGTTTCTTAAAGTTAGATAGTTTGTACTGGGATTGTACCCATT